TCAAATAGCTACCCTTGTCCCAGCCTTATCAAAGTCCCGGGCTCCTTACGTTAGACTTCCTGATCTAGAACTTATTTATTCTTTTAAAATATATTTTTAAAAATTGTAGATGAGCACAATACCTTTTTTTATGCGGTGCTGAGGCTCGAACCCAGTGCCTCCCACATACTAGGCAAGTGCTCTACCATTGAGCCACATCCCCAGCCCCTTATTTCATTTTTATAAGGGTAGGATGCTAGGTCAGGAGTTCTGAATTTTAGACCTATATCTGTCACTAATCACATGGGGAGCCTCAGATTAAACACAACACTTGCACCCAACTTACTGTCAAAATGGAGAAACCGGGCTTGACCAGAATTATCCTTAAAAGTTGAAACCCTTTAAGAAGTCCTAAGCCTGGCAAATTCGGTTTAGGCGAGTCGTATCAATCTCTCCCTTTGGCAACAGAACCCTTGAGAATGTTTCCTCTGATTTAAAATGCTATCACCACCACACAGCCCACTTAACACCTATTTGTCAGTTTCAGTATCACCTCCTCAGGCAAACTTTCTTTGATACCCTAATCTAAATCAAGTTCTTTCTTGTTTTGTGGCAAACTTTCTTTGATACCCTAATCTAAATCAAGTTCTTTCTTGTTTTGTTGACTCACGTTCATTTTTCTTTAAACCCAAACACACACACCCTCACTCCCCCTGCCTCAGAATTTTCACTTGTATAAATACTGTTTTTAAGTGCTCTGAATACATTAATCAACCTAAGTAGAGAACTCTTTAATTCCATAGAATGGTGCTTGTTTTTGAGCACTAACATGAGGTGATTCTCACAGGAATAATTATGACCAAAAAAAGAAAAAAAGGATCACTTCTAGTTTTAGCCCCACTTATCCCACACTTTTTATCAACTGTAATGCATCCCTTAGGTTAGTCACCAGTTGGTCCCTGCCTAGTTCTAGGTGGAAGGTTGTATTAAATGTACGTCAAGAATGGTCCTAAAATATTTGAAAGGTAAATTTTTATTCAAATATGAAGTAAATCTAGGAAAAGAAAAAAAGATTGAGGGAGGTATCTTTTGCTTCTACGCACATCTTTGTTAAGTTTCCAAAAAACAACACCCTTCCCATGTGTTGGTTTGTGGGCACACATTTTATTGCACTTAATTTTTTATATGTCCATTTCCCCAGCAAAACATATTTATTCATCTTTTTAATCCTCATAGCTCAGCACAGGGCCTGGCACAGAGTAGGCACTCAAATACTTGATCTTGAAAACATGACCACTTATGTATGCATCCATAATCCCCCTTCTACAGTATGAAGTGGGTGGATATTCAGCGTTCAGCTACTTTTCATGTACATTTTGCAGAATATATAATTCCCAAATTATATTAGTGATTTCACACTTTAAAAGAGATCATCAGGATCTCTTTTTTAAAAGCTGTTTATTTCTTGGCTTTTTAAAAAGTCAAGGCAAAGCTCTAGTGTTCAATTTCCAAGTCAAGATAACATTTCAGGTGAGTGTGTCAGGTGGTTCAGTCATTAAGAGGCAAAAGCCAGCCCATATTGCCTGCACACTTTGTTCTTATAAAAGCAAATAATTTATTCTAGTCCTTGCCATTTGTAAGAGCCCTGGTCCACTGAACAATTTTTGATCCTATAAAACTTTTTTAGTTCAGTTTTTGTCACATATAAAAGCTGTGTGTCGAGACTGAAGATTATCCACTATCTTCTTTTCTATCTCTACACCTTTTTCTACATCTTCCTCTGATAGCAATAACTTGGTTTCTGAGTCTTTGGTAACAATAATAACAAAGGAATGTATTGACTCAAGGATATTAGCCACCACCAGTTGATGTTGATAAACTTCCAAAGCATTCCGAGCACGATTAATTACGATGGAGGGGTCGGTCTCCAACTTAAAGGAAATTATAAAGGCTTTGGGAGCCCAATCTTTAACCAAAGGATAAAGCATTTTTGGCACCATCTTCATTGTTATCTGTATTGGAAAAAGAAAAGCTTAATAAGCAAACAATGACCACTACCTATCAGGAAACTAAGGAATCAGGGACTCAGATTTTTGCCTAGATAAATTTTAGTGAGATTTTTTCCCATTGTGCAGACTTTTCAAAGCAAATTAAATGGTTAGCTTAAAAGCCTTAACTCTGTGGTGTTCATACTAATATCTAAATTTAAGGCTTTATACATATTCTGGGGCAAACCATTTTTTTTTTTTTTTTTTTAATCAGCCCTACTCTGCTACCCTCATTACATTTTCTGGAATGTTCTCCTTTATTTCTTCAAGTAAACCCTCAAATAAGCAAATATAACTAATTGGTTCATGCAAATGTTATGCTGGCAGAAGTCCAAAAATATTGGATTTTTAAACCTCTCAGTTTAAAATATTTCTACATTGGTAGAATGGCTCTAGATTCCATTTACTTGTAACTGGAACTGTAAACGGAAAAATTACACAACAGCACTGAGGAAACAACTGATTTTCACTTGATTAAAACTCATACCATCTGTTTCCAACACCTTCAAAGAGGAATGTTGAGTTGTTTTGTATACTTTTAAGACAGAACTAAAAAATGTGGATAAAGATCCCAGAGTTTTGAAAGTGTGAATCACTAAACTAATCACCAGGATCTCTTTTTAAAAAGCTGTTGTTAGCAAGTGTGATAAGAATCATATATTGCTAGTTCCCCACTGTTTCTCCTTAGCATTTTTCCCTACCAAGAGTAGCATGCATTTGACTCCCCTGCAGTATGTAAGCAATTCAAGTGCTAGATATTTCTTTTCACTGCTTTTATCTCCAGTTCCTACAATTAACACCTGGTACAGTAGGTACTCAATAAATATTTGTTGAAGAAATGAAAAAATAAACTATCATACAAGGGCCCCATTGATAGAGTTTCTCCTATATAGATTCTACCTGAATCACTAGGAACTTCCCCTCAGGTTCCAAGACACCAGAATATCTTAATAACTCAACCATACAACTGTTCTCTTCATACCTCTTCCTTAAATTACAATAACCCCCAACTGAACTATCCCATTCACTCTATTCCCTACTTCACCTTTCAAAATGATGCCAGAATGTTCTTTTCACAAAAACTACCTTATTCTCCTACTTATGTGCTACTTGTCTCCATAGGATAAAATCCAAGCTCCTTAAGAAGGAGTAAAAACCAGGCATGGTGGCCCACTCCTGTAATCCCAGCTACTTGGAAGGATGAGGCAGAAGATTCCAAGTTTGAGGTCAGCCTGGGCAACATAGCAAGATCTTATCTCCAAAAACAAAACAAAATATTCTGTGAAGTAAGCTGCCTCTTCAGTCCATTTTCCAGCATTACTAAAAGCACTTTGATTCACAGCAGCTACTGCTAAACATAGCAATGTTTCCAAACTCCAACTGTATAACTCCACTTGAAATGATCTTCCCCACTGTTATACCCTCTGCTCATCTTTAAAAACCCAGTTCAAGTTAACTTCCTCCAAGAAGCCTTCCTCAACTCCCCCAATTCACTTCCCCCAAATCTGACTGCACTTTGTACATACCTCCACTAGAGCATTTATCACTCTGTTTTGTAATTATGTCTGTGTCCAGGTCCCTGGCTAGATTGTGAGGTCCTTGAGGGAGGGCGGTGTCTTATTCATCTCTGTATCCCCAGTGCCTAGTGCATACAGAAGGCAGATAGGCCATCTCCAGATCAAGAGGAAAATTAACCCATGATTGGTTATAGGGGATCAGATCTCTGGAAGAGAAGCGCCCATCACCTGCAGTGGGCCCCCAGATGACTGGATCTTGTGTTCAGGCATTTCAGAGACAGGAACATAGAAATCTGACACGGCCGCAGCCAGGTAAAACATCGCAGAAGGCCCTGCAAAGAGAAGTAGAAGGTGTAACAAATAGGGGAGAGGTGTGGGATCAGTTCCTTTACAACTTGAGTTCCCAGACTGTAAGACCAGAGGTATGGGGGGAAAGTGGCTGGGGATAAAGGCCTTGCTTCCTGGCAATCGCTGGATCCCTAGGGCACGCACCTAGTGGACTGAGCGCTTGGGCAGCAGCCTTCAGCAGATGCAAATAGTCTGCCAAGGTGGAGAACTCTACAGCCAGGAAGGTGCCGGCAGCCGCTGCTTCTTGGTAGCTCCGCAAAGCCGCAGCGAAGCCCGGGAGTTCATTCTCCTCGGCCTCCAGGCTCAGCACGCCCGACTTAGGTAGGCCAGAAGGCCGCAGGGCCGACAGCCAGGTCTGAGGCGGGAAGCGGTGGGCAAAGGGGAAAGAGGAACGAGCGCGGTACAAGAACAGGACCCCGTAGCCTGCAGCCAGGAAGGCCTCGGCCGAAATTGCACCGCGCCGCCCGCTGCTGAAGTTGTCCAGAAAGCGCACTGGCCGCGCTTCCAGAGGCACCTTGGTGCCGCCTGACGTGACCAACACCACCCGCCGGCCCTGTGCGCCTAGCCCGGCCGCGAAGCGAGCCATAACCTCGGCAGAGCGAGCAGCACCCGAAGGCTGGGGGAACTCGGAGACGAGGTCCATTTCTTCCATCAGTGCCTGAGTTCCCCCTGCGCCTGCGCCTGCGCACGCCCCGGGGCCGCCGGCACCACGCCCAGCCGCAATAGTGAGCGGGCCGGTCCCTCCCCAAGGTTTTCCCCTAGGTCCCAATCTCGCCGGGTGTGGAAATGCGCGGTTATTCTGCCCCAGAGCCCAGCGAAAATGATACTGCGCCGAGGGAATTCTCACTTTCGGATAGTGAACATCTGGAAAGGTCGCATTCCCTCTTGTTAGTTTCCTGACCTGGGTAAGAACGGGCCGCGTTTGACCCTTACCGGCCACCGTACAGACCTTCCTGGGCTTGGATCCGTCGGAGTGTATTCTCTTTGTCTTTTAACCTTTGTGACTGATGGAATTTGTGACCCTCCCCTCCCCTGTTTTAAAGCTCAAAATGTCAGTCGAGCCACGCCCCTCCCCTTTGCCCTTGAAACTCTGGTAACTAGGCTGTCGCGGTCGTCACGTGACGCCGGTGTCCTGCGTTTCCTCGCTGGGCAACCGTCCTAGAGACCTACAGCCGCTGGCTGCAACATGAACGTGATCTACCCACTGGCGGTGCCCAAAGGGCGCCGGCTCTGCTGCGAGGTGTGCGAAGCCCCAGCCGAGCGAGTGTGCCCTGCCTGCACAGTCACTTATTACTGGTAGGCCCTGGAACGTGGCACCTGGCGCCTGACTCCCTCCCTCTCTCCGGATCAGGGCCTGGGCCTGTGTACCTGTGTGAGCCGCCACCCCTCAAGGCGGCTTCAAGACAGGTCTCTAGGACCCCTGTGGCCTTGTCTGCCTCCTCTCCCACTGGTTGTGGGGTGTGTTTTGAGCACCTGCTGTGTGTTCTGCACTAGTCTAGGTGCTGAGGTTCCAGGGGCATTTGGGTAGCTCTGTTCCCTCAAGGACCTAATGTTAGGATGCAGGAGACAGACAAGTAAACAAAACAAAGTAATTTCAGAGAGAGAAATTTCTCAAGACAAGTAAAGAAAGTGTGATGAGAAACTGGGCAAACAGCTTCTCTTGAGAGTAGACTTAATGTGAAGATAAATAAGAGCAACCCATCCTGGAAATGGCTGGGGGAAGGCCTGGTGTGTTTGAGGAATAAAAGAAGGCTGGTTGGTCCCAGGCACAGCTAAGATAGTAGGGAGGTTAAGTGCAAAATGAGGCCCATTTCCATTTATTCAATATAACATTCTCTTTGCTTCATATTAGACCCTATTTTTGACCTGATGTTACATCCAGAGATCTAGTTCACAGTCATAATGCATTTTACATGACAAATGCAGTCACTTAGGATGTGCTAAGCCCTGGGACCTCTAAGGATGGAAGCTGGGGTAGTGTACTTTTTTCCAGGGAAGTAATATTTGAGCTGAGTTTTGAAGGAATGGTGAAAAAGGGTAGGACATTCCTGGCATCCAGGACTTCGTGGGCAAAGGGTAAAAGTACAGAGTTTGCTGAGAACTAGATAGGGAAGATAGTAGTGGAGGGACTGGTCAATGATTTTCACACTGTAGGCCAGGACTCAGCACATCATGGATAAATCAAACATCATTTAAAGAAGAAAAATAGCATAGACTAGAAAGTATCAAAACAATCCTACCTAAAATTTAGTGTTTTATGAGGATATGCATTTTTGTACTTGTAAAATGTATTTCTTACTATGAATTGAGTAAAAAAAAGTTTTGATATCATTGTGATAGGTACTAGGAGAAGTTTAAACAAAGAAAACATAATGACATGAGATCAAAAAGATTAGAATTTACCTTCTGGCAAGCCGTGGATGGTATTGAGCTGACAGGCTGTCATTTGTGTTAAGGAAAATGACAGGCAGCAGTATGGAAGATAGACTGGAAAATAGACACTGAAGACTGCATAACTGATTCGAAGGCTGTTGCCATGGTCCAAGTGGAGAGTGATCCTACCTTTCTCAGACTGATCCAGGTGTCCCACCTCAGTGCTCTCAAAGAACTCACTAGTCCCCCTATCTTAACACTTAGGACACAGGCTGAAATCAGTCGTGTAATTGTCTGTACCCCTCACTAGTCTGTATGACCCATGACAGCAGGGATGGCATCAGTTTTTTAGTTCCCTTCTTTGATGACATCATTGCATTTAGAATGCGATTCACAATTTGTAACAAGAACTACAAAGCTCTGACCATCTCTCTACTTGCATTTTCCACCACACTCACCCCATATTTTCCTTGCTATAGATACAGAGAACTGAAGTTCTAAATTGTTCTCTCAGTTTCTTTGCCCAGAATGCTCACTGTGCTGAGAACCTCCACTTCTATCACACACCTTCTGAACTCCCTTTCTTCCTTCAGATTTTACTTAAATGTCTTCTCCACCCCCCAGATAGGTCCAAATCAAATCCAAACACTCTTCTGGCATTTTTCTTGTTAATAAGTCTATTTTTCTTTGCTTTTCTTCTCTTTTGATTTTTTTTTCATTTACTTATCCTACAAGGTCTTTGTCTTTACTAGACCAGTGCCCACACATAACAGGTATGCAATGGACATTTGTTGAATAAACAAACTTCTTTTTTTTGGGTGGGGTGCTACTGGGGATTGAACTCAGGGGCACTCAACCACAGAGCCACATCCCCAGCCCTATTTTGTATTTGATTTAGAGACAGGGTCTCACTGAGTTGCTTAGTGCCTCACTGTTGCTGAGGCTGGCTTTGAACTCCCAATCCTCCTGCCTCAGCCTCCCACCCATGAGATTACAGGTGTATGCCACCACGCCCAGTATAAACAAACTTCTGAATGGATAATAAATCCATCTGAGGCCAAGAAAATGGGAGGAGATGGTGAGTAACAGATTTGGTTGCAGATAAAACGAGGGGCCTTCATGTCACTAGGCTACAAGTATAGGCACGACACTCAGGAATGATTCTAGTTCTTTGTCTGGTGTGTGTACCCATTTCTTCCTTAAAACCCCCTTCTTGGGGCTGGGGTGTAGTTCGGTGGCAGAGCACTTGCCTAGCGTGTGTGAGGCACTGTGTTCAATCCTTAGCACCACATAAAAATAAAGAAATAAAATAAAGGCATTTTGTCCATTACAACTACAAAAAAAAATTTTTTTTTTAAAGTCCTTGTCCTCTTTATCCATGCAAACAGAAGTAATCCCCCCTTTCTCTCAGTTTACTTTGCTATCTACTCTTAGATGACTTTTGTTTCCCTTCTTCATTTTTAGTTGTTGGCAAGCATATTGTCTTAAATTTTATGCTTCATTAATGCAAGATGTTATTTTGAGTGCATATAGAAGGACTGCTATGTGTGTGCTATCTTTTGATTTATATCATACCCTGTGTATGCTCATGGTGTCCAGCAGTCTTGAAATAACTGGCACTAATATTTGATGATGACATGAATAAATCATTATTTCCATGCCCTCACCCTCTATTTTTTCCCTTTCTCTTCTTTCATTTGCTGCTGCATCTTTGTGCATGTGTGCACATGGTGCTGGAGATGGATCCCAGGGTCTCATGGGTGCTAGGCAAGTGCTCACTCCTTTCACTTGTTTTAATTCTCTTTAAGGTTTTTTCTTCTTTTTTACCCATCTGTTTTCTTCAGAGTTCTATGCCCTTATGTTCTGGATATCTCAATATTTTTTTCTTTTATAAAACAAAATGAGATAATTTTTCTACAGGTTTTGATGGTTGAATGTAAAGTATCTAGAACTGTGCCAGGGACCAAGTTGGCACACAATGTATATTCTTTTTTAAGCATCCCAAATTTAAGAAGCCAAAAGGACAGTCAATTTGAATTCTTGCAAGTTTTTTCCTATAAAAGAATTTTATCCTAATGGTAAATGCAATTCATGCTCACTGCAGAGAACTTGAAAATACAAAAATAAAGAAGAAAAATAATCCATAATTCTACCACCCAAAGATTAGTAACCTGACATTTTGGTGAATTTCATTCTTTTTCTTCTAAACATATTTATTTTATGTATTATGCATAATCTTATGCATATTGTAGCTCATTGGATTGTGAATATGTTCCCAGGGAAGAGAACATTTTCGAGAAAATATAATTTTATGAAAGTACACACTGAAGCGTTTGTGATAGTTAGAGGCGTCAGTGTTGTGGTTTAGCAAATCACAGTATATTGATTACAGTGATAGGCAATAATTTTTCCTTTAATTTAAAATAAGATGGCACAAATTTAAATGCCTTAACTGGCCAAGAAGAGAAAACAGTGAAATGGTATTCAATAACAGAAAATAATAGGATCTGTAGTGAATTGTAGAATGAATGTCCTGCTTAAAGACATTCAAATATGGTTCTAAAAATGTGATAATGCACAAACTAAATATGTCTAGATCACGAACTACTTAATTGTGAGCCCTGAATGAAACATATTTTCAAACTTCTTTTGTATGCACTATGTTGACTTGCAGGGGTAAGACAAATGAATTAAGAGAAAACTCAAATATGTAAGCAAAGCTCACTGTATTTACAAAAGCAAGATATGTTAGTTGCTTTTACTAGAACAAAAGTTCATGCAGTTAAATAAGTTACCATTTCCATTGCTCACACGATTACTCAACAAGTCCTATTAAATAAAAACCCTGTGGAATTTAGCTATTTCTATATCCTGGTTATTAAGTGCTTTTATTGATCTGTTTACAATAATTCTCTGTCCTCTAGAAAACTTTTAAAGTGGCTTCTGACATTTCTATAGTATCAGAGTTAATAAAGAAAACACCCAATTGTATTTCTGTTGTCCCAGGAGAAAGGAAAGTGAGAGGATGCTTGCAGTCACGTATTTTCTATGGCTGCTTTTGTGTTACAACAGCAGGGTTTAGTAGTTGGAACAGAGAGCACAGAGCTCTCTAAGACTAAAATAGTTACTGTTTGGCACTTCACAGAAAAACTTTGGTAACCTCTTCCCTAGATTATTGGTACCTGTTTTGAAGTCTATAATGAACTCAAACTGTTAACTGTCTCACACTTAAGTCAAAATGTGTAATAGGCAGTGAAAATGTGTAATAGGCAGTAGAAATCAAAAACTCATGATTGTAGGCATTTAACAACAGAGCCTCAAAGTACATGAAGCCCAGACTCACAACTGAAGGGAGAAATAGACAATTTAATAATAATAGTTGGAGATGTCAATTTCTCACTTTCAGTAATGAATAGAACAACTAGAGAAACATCAGCAAGGAAATAGAAAACTTGAACAAAAACTATAAACCAACTAGACCTAACAGACCTTTGTAGAGCACACTAAATAATAACAGGATACACATTATTATTAAGTGCATATAGAACATTCTTCAGGATAGACTTATGTTAGGTCATAAAATAAATATCAATAAGTGTGTGAGGATTGAAGTTATACATAATTACAGTGGAATGAAATTAGTCATCAGTAATATAAAATTTGGTAAATTCACAAATTGTGGAAATAAAATACTAAAAAAAAGTGTGTCAAAGAAGAAATCACTAGGGAAATTAGAAAATGCTCTGAGATGAGTGAAGACAAAAACAGTATATTAAACATAAGAGATGCAGACAAAACAGCAGTTAGTGGTTCCTAAAGATCTATAACAAGTAAAGAGATTTAGCCAGTAATTTTAAAAATTCCCACACGTAAAAAGCTAAAGAGCAAATCACTTCATTAAAGTTCAAATGTTTAAAGAATTAACACTGACTTTCACAAATTCTTCAAGAATATGGAGGAGGAAATAATTCCTAATTCATTCTATAAGACCAGTATTATCCTAATAACAAAACCAAATAAAGATGTCACAAGAAAACTACAGACCAGTACCCTTTATGAATATACATATAAAAACCCTCCACAAAGTTTTAGCAAACCATATCCAGCACTATATATGAAGTTTATACATCATGACCAAGTGGGATTTATTCTAGGAATTCAAGACTGATTCACCATACAAATACCAATCAGTGTAATACACTATATTAATAGGTAAAAGACAAAAATCATGTGATTATCTCAATAGGTGCAGAAAAAGCATTTGACAAAATCTAACATCCGTTATGATAAAAACATTTAAACTGGAAGTAAAAGGGAACTTCTATTTACTTGGTAAGAAGAAACTATGAAAAAAACCATCGAGAAAAACAGAGCTAAGGTTATACTTAATGGTCAGAGACTGAAAGCTTTTCCCCCTAAGAACAAAAAGGAGACAAGGATGTTGCTGTCACAACTCTAGTCAACTTTGTACTAGAGGTTCTGGTAGGGGCAATTAGAATACAGTGAAATAAAAGATACCTAGCTTAGAAAGGAAAGAGAGAAACTACTTTAGTTTGCAGATGACATGACCTGCTTTTGATGGTTAGTTTTATGCATCAATCTGACTGAGGCAAGAGGATGCACAAATAGTTAGTAAAACAATATTTCTAGATGTGTCTGTGAAAAACTAGCATTTGAATTAATAGACTAAATAAAGGTCACCCTCACCAATGTGTGTGGAGATCATCCAGTCTACTGAGGGCCCAAATAGAACTTTAAAAAGTATCTTCTTTTCTGTACTCCATCTGCTGCCCAAGAACCTCCTAGTTCTTGGACTCTGAAACTTATACCAGCAGGCATTCTCTTTCCTCCCCTCCTTTTAGTTCTTAGGCCTTCAGACTTAGATTGAGGTACAACATGAGTTTTTGGTTCTCTAGCTAGCAGACAGCAGATTGTGGTACTTCTTAGACTCTGTATCACTTGAGCCAATTCTCACAGTAAATACATATTTGTTCTATAAGCACCTGTACATGCTTGTCTATAAAAAAACCCCTAAAGAACCTACGAAAGTATTATTACAGATAATAAATGAACACATATAAGGTTGTAGCATATAAGATCAATAAACAAAAATCAGTTGTATTTCTATATATTGGCAATGAACAATCTGAAAATGAAATTAGGAAAGTCATTCCAGTCATAATAGTATTATAAGTTTCTAGGAATAAATTTAACCAAAATAGTACAAGATTATACACTGAAAACTACAAAACATTATTGAAAAAATTACAAAGACCTAAACAAACAAAAAAAATGTTCTGTATTTATTAAATGGAAGAACTGTGATCCTTATCAAAATCCCAACTGCCTGGGGCTGGTGTTGTAGCTCAGTGGTTGAGCACTTGCTTCACGTGTGAGGCACTGGGTTCGATCTTTAGCACCATATAAAAATAAATAAATAATAAAATAAAGATATTGTGTTCATTTACAACTAAAAAAAAAAACTATTAAAAAAAATTCCAACTGCCATTGTTGCAGAAAATGGACTTGCTGGCTCTAAAATTCCTCTGGAATGCAAAGGACCAACAATAACCGAAACTTAATAAAGAACAAAGAAAAGTGTGTATTTTAAAAGAATCACTTTTCAGTTTCAAAATTTGCTATGAAGCTATAGTGATGAAGACATATAGGTCAATGGTACAGAACTGAGAATTCAGAAAAAAAGCCCAAACGTCTATGTTCAGTTGAATTTCAACAGGTGCCAAGACCATTCAGTGGGGAAAAGTATGGTTCTTCAACAAATGGCACCAAGACAAGTGAATGTCCATGTACAAAAGAATGAATTTGAACCCCTATCTTAGGCCAGAAACAAAAAGACCTAAATGTAAGAGCTAAAAATATAAAACTTAAAAGGAAACAGTTGTAAATCTGTGTGATACTGGATTAGGCAATAGTTTCTTATATATGAAATCAAAACCACAAGGAACCAAAGAAAAATAGTTGAACATCATTAAAATTAAAAACTTGGGTGCATCAGAGAACACCATCAAGAAAGTGAAAAGGTGACCCATAAAATGGGAGAAAATATTTGCAAATCATGTATTTGGTAAGGATCTAATATCTAGAGTATTTAAAGAACTCTTAAAACTCAATAATAAAATACAATAGGCTTGATTTTACAAAAGGGCAAAGGGGTTTTATTTTTGGTGGTTTTTTGTTTTGTTTTTTGTTTGGTACCAGGGATTGACTCCTGGGCACTTTACTATAGAGCTACATCCCCAGCCCTTTTTATTTTTTATTTTGTCCAGGGTCTCAGTAAGTCACTGAGGGTCATGCTAAGTTGCTGAGGTTGGCCCTGAACTTGTGATCATATTGCCTCAGCCTTCCGGTAGCTGGGATTATAGGTGTGCACCACTATACTTGGCTTGGGCAAAGGATTTGAATAAACATTCTACCAAAGACAAATATAAAAATGGCCAGTTAACATATGAAAAGATTCTCAACATCATTAGTCATTAGGGAAATGCAAATCAAACCCACTGGATACTACTTCACAACCAGTAGGATGGTACAATAAAAAAGACAAAGGGGGCTGGGGTTGTGGCTCAGCGATAGAGCTCTCACCTTGCATGTGCAAGGCCCTGGGTTGGATCCTCAGCACCATATAAAAATAAATAAATAAAATAAAGGTATTGTGTCCAATTACAACTAAAAAAAATTTTTTTTAAATAAAAAAAAAAGACAAAGGGGCTAGAGATATAGCTCTGTGGAAGAGCACTTGCCTGGCATGTGTAAGGCCCTTGGTTTGATCCCAGCACCCTACCCCAAAAGTGTTGGTATGGCCCTGAGGTTGTGTCTCAGTGGTCGAGCACTTGCCTAGCATGTTCGAGGGCCTGGGTTTGATCCTTGGTACCATATAAAAATAAATAAAATAAAGGTATTGTGTCCAACTACAACTAAAAAGTAAATATTAAAAAGAAAGTGTTGGTATGGGGGCAGAGAAATTGGTACTCTCATACATTGTGGCAGAAATATAAAATGGAGCAACAACTACCTAAAACAGTTTGGCAGTTCTTCAAAAAGTTAAACAGTTACCATAAAACTCAGCTATTCCATTCATAGCCGTATTCCCAAGAGATTGAAAACATGTTCATACAAAAACATGCACACAAATGTTCATAACAGCATTATCTATAATAGCAAAAAAGTGGAAACAACCTAAGTAACTACAAAATGAGGAATGAATAAACAAAATGTATACCCACACAGTGGAATATTTTCCCATCATAAAAAGGAATAAAATACTTGCACATGCTACAACATGGCTGAACCTTGAACACAATGTTCTAAGAAGCCAGACACTAAAGGACATTTAATGTCTGTTTCCACTAATATGCAATATTCAGAATAGGCTAATACAGAGAAACAGTAGATTAGTGGTTGCTGGGCACAGGTATGAGGAAGGACGAATGGGAATGACTATTAACAAGTACAAAGTGGGTTTTTTTGACAATTAAAATGTCCTGGAATTACATAGGGTGATAATTACACAACTTTGAATACAGTAAACACACTATATACTTCAAAATATGAATTTTATGGTGTATGAACTATATTACAATTTAAAAAGTGAAATAAAAAACACTTGGAAAAAAGGATCAAAATTGGATAATAGACTGGGAGTTATTCAAAGAGGCAATTCATGGGGATGGATACTCGATAGGGATGCTGTCTAGTTTCTGCAGTATTCTATGCTGTTCTGTTTCTATGCTGTCCAACTGAGTGTTTAAAAATAATAAGAATAAAAAGTGAGAAAAGTTGTAAGCCAAACTGTCACAGTGCTTCTTTCTAGAGGGCTAAAAAATACTGATTTGGAATATAGGGTTATATATTGATAGCTCCCTACCTTTAAAATGGTAATAACAGATTTTATTTTGCTTTCAAAGAGTCAAATAATTGCATGCAAGACCATGTGTGGCACCACTGGGATTGTGGGGGGTGGGCATTCACAGTGACGTCTATGTGATCAGCCTCCTGGCACACAGAAGACAATGCCAGTGGTTCTCATCCAAGCCATGGTGACATCAGAGGTAGGAAAACATTTTTGTAAAGTTGTCTCTTAAGGCCTCATCAAATATAAATTCCTTTCATTTCCCCAAGATAAAGACCCTCAAATCCATCAACTTTGGTGTTCAGACAAAATGACCTTAAAACAATGTAGAGTTAAAGTTGTCTTTGTTGTTATTAACTAGGCAGAATAGCCACAGCATCTCTGTGTGACTTTGGGGTGTGAAAATGTGACTGCTGAAAAGACCTTCTCCAATTTGCCCTCTCCAACCCCAACAGTTTATATTTTTTTTAAGTTGTAGATGGACCCAATATATTTATTTATTTATTATATGGTGCTGAGGATCAAAAACAATGCCTCACACATGCAAGGCAAGTGCTCTACCACTGAGCCACAGTCCCAGCCTACCCTACAGTTTTTACACCATCAAATAACAATAAGAAAAGGATTTGTGTCTCAGAAACAGCTTTGGGCTTTCTGTCTAGTTTGTGTTGGGCTTACTTTTCTGGTGTTTAGGGCTAGACCAGTAGAAAGGCCAAAGATAAAGATAATAAAGCCCATGTTTTTGTTGTCAGTGGTGTGGTGCATCAAAAAGCTGACTGGAATAGCATCCATGAGAAGGTATGTCAGCTCCTGATTCCATTGCGCACTACCATGCCCTTCTATAATTCAGAGGAAGAACGGCAGCATGGCTTGCAGCAGCTACAGCAGCGACAGGTAGGTCCTATAGGACTTTTTCAGGGTTAGCTCACGGGTGTAGTGAAACTACTACCTGCAAGGGCCAAACTGTGTTGGGATCACTAAATTGTAACCTTGGTAAGAAGAGAGAATTTGTTTTACATGTGTAAGTCCTTAATCCCATTCAGTCAGTTGTTTTTCACATCTCTACTGAACGTTTGCTAGATTAGTTTGCTAGGGTGATTATAACAAGATGCCACAGACTAGGTGGCCCTTATTTTCTCAGAATTCTGGAGGCTGGAAGTCCAAGACTAATGTGTTGACTGGTTTGGTTTCTTCTGAGATCTCTCTTCCTGGCTTGTAGTTGGCCCCCGTCTTGCTATGTCCTTTTATGGACCTCTGTGAGCATGTATCCCTGTGTTTTTTTTTGTGTGTGTGTCCAATTTCCTCTTTTTATGAAGATACTGGTCAGATTGAGTTAAAGTGGATTCAATTTTAACTTAACTTTTCAAAGGCCATATCTCCAAATACCATCATACTCTAAGGTACTGGAGGTTAGGGCTTCAGCTCACTAACTTCTGGGGGAACAGATCAGCTCTAGCATTCACATACCAAGTACTGTGATAGTCTTAGCACAGTCAGCTGCTGCATAGAATAAATAAAGAAGAAGGGCAAAACTAGCTACTGTTATGACATTAATAACATCTCAATTGTTATTTTAAAAATTAGCCCTTTATAAGCCATAATTGTCTAAAAACCAGGTTCATTGATTTTAATGTTACAATGCCTTGATAGTAACCTGAAGATAATGTTGAGTTAAAGTTGTTTCTGATATTAGCTAAACAGGATAATTCCAGAAAGAAAAATGAGATTTTTTTTGAGAGAAATTCTCTCAAAATTAATTCAAACAGAAAGGCAGAAAGTTTGAGATCATCCTGAGATGTCTGTAGTTTTGGTAAGCTAAAGTTTTAATAGAACTATAAGAAAAATATACATTTGTTCATCTAGTAGCTTTATATTGAATCCTCATATTTGCCAAGCAGTGAACTAAGATGAAAAGACACTTGTTCCTGGGCCATGAGAAGCTCAGAGTTGTCTTTTTTCACTACCTGTTTTGGATATCATGTCCATCTTAGTTCAGGCAGTCTCAATATGTACCTTCAACCAGTTCAAAGGATGTTGGCCTTATCTCCAGGGATATCTACATCCACTTTTGCCTTTTACCATTTGACTGGCTGAGACAGTCTATTTCTATCTTCCACAGAAGCATTTGATTGAATTCTGCTACACTGTTGCCCAGAAGTATCTTTTTGAAAAAAAATATGCAGAAGCTGTTCCAGCAGCTTTGCATTCCCTTCGCTTCCGCCGGAGTGTGTACGGCCTGAGTTCAGTAGAGCTCGTGCCTGCTTACCTGCTATTGTCTGAGGCCAGCCTTGGTAAGTAGCACTGATCTAGGACCCCTGGAGCCCAAAAGGCTATGTTGGGTCTTGTCAATGACCACAGACTTCAGACTCGACAAAGCCTGATGTCTTACCCAAGACACCTTTTGTGGAATTCTTGAGCAGGGCTGCTGTGAAGTTTGACTTGAGCTGGGGAAAGAGATGCCACACTTAAGCCTACAGTTGACAGAAATCCCCTGAAGATGGCCTATGCAAAAGGAAGAAATTTAGCCAGGCATGATAGTTATATGTTTAATTAATTAAATGGTTATACCTTTAATTCCAGCTATTTGAGAGGCTGAGGCAGAAGGATCAAAAATTCAAGGCCAGCCTCAACAACTTAGTGAGATCCTGTCTCAAAATAAAATTAAATTTAAAAAATTGACTGGGAATATAGCTCAGAGGTAGCTCCTGGGCTTAATTCCCAATATCACAAAAAAGGCTGGGGGAGATTTTGGGGGATGTTGGAGTGTCCTGAAGGAATTGAAGTTTTGTGAGGTCTCGCAAGTGACCTGCACTGACGAGATGAGCTGGCTTCAAAAGAGCTGGCTGCAATATTAAGCTAAGAAACTGGCAAAAAAGCACAGAACACAGAAGTAATTCCCATGTCGAGGGTAGGACAGCTATGAGACCTTAAGGGTCAGCTTCCATGCTAGAAGGCCCTGGAAAGAGAGCGTGTATCCAGAATCTTTTTTTTTTACAGGGAGGACACACAAAAGAGTTTCTATAGAATGTTCTTCACCAAATAAGGTAGGGGATAAGGTTTCAAAGGGGGACTGTCCAATCCCATTGGATAATGCCCAAGTCCAGAGCTGAAGCAAACTTCTTTGCCCAGCGAAGGTGAAAGCCATTTGCTTCGCACAGCATGTGGCGTGCGTGGGATGCCAGACAGAAACCCCTTTTACTCAAGGATGAGAGGAGATGCTTAGCTCAAGGGCAGGGCGGCCTCCCACTGTGAGTCACTAGAATTGGAAAACTATAAAAAAGCAGGCTGGTGCTCTCAGTTTCTCTCTCGGTCCTTGTTTCTCGTCTCTGTTTCTCTACTTTGTTTTTTCTCTCTGCAGACCAGATTTTAATACCCTAAGTTTATTGCAGAAGATAGCTACCCTAAAATGTCAGATGTAGTTCTTAAATTTACATGTCTTCAAAGTTAAAGGAAGGTAATAGAAACTAATTAGCGTCTGATTTCCAATTACAAGTTCCTAGAAGTTACAATTTTGTTGATCCAGTTTGAGTTTGGTATCTAACCTTGTTCTTTAGAATCAGGTTTCCATAGTTCAGAGATAGAGGAAACCACTGCTATAAATAGGAAGAGGTGATTCTGAGAGTGGGGAGCACAGGCTTAGCAGATACCCACATAGTGGCTTCTACAAGAGAATTAGCACTTGGAGAGGAATTAACATTCTTGAGCATCTACAGTGTTTTAGGCACTGAACTACCACTTTGTGCAGCTAACCCTCATTTTATAAAAAAATTAAGTAAAACTGTTGGAAGTACAGTAGAAAGAACCCCACCCCACCCCATCCCCACTTTGCCGTATAAGAATAAATTGCTGACGTGATGCCCTGTCTCTGGAGTGCTTCAGCATATATTTCCTATAAAGACATTTTCTTACAGGACCACAATATAACTTCACCTACTGTCATCTACAAAGAAGCCTCTACTTGGTTTTTTTCCAATTTTCCCAATAACATTTTCATAGCAAAAGACATTAGAGAATTAGAAAAAAGTTAAAATTAATTTGGTTATCATGTGTCTAAAGTCTTCATTCTGGAATAGTTTCTCAATCTTTCTTTGACCTTGACACTTTTAAAGATTATGGGCCAATTATTTTATAAAGCATCTTTTCATTTGGGTTTTTCTGTTTCCTCATGACTAGACTCAGGTTATGGATTTTGGCAGAAATATCACAGAGATGACAATATGTTCTTTCCCTCCTATAAGTTGGCATGCGTTTTCAATTTTTCCATTACTAATGATGTTCATTTCATTTTATTTGATTTTTATCATGATCAATAGCAATTGGAAAATATTAGATGGAAAACTCCAGGAATTAATAATTTAAGAGATTTAAATAAATTTTATTATAGTTTATTATTATAATTATTCTGTTTTATCATTAGTTCTTGTTGTTCATTTCTTTCTGTGCCTAATTTATAAATTAAACTTTACCATAGATATGTATGTATATATGGAGAAAAACAATATATAGGACTGGGATTGTGGCTCAGTGGTGGAGCACTTGCCTTGCACGTATGAGGCACTGGGTTTGATCCTCAACACCACATAAAAATAAAACCATCTACAATAAAAAAATTTAAAAACATAATCTGTGTGTACATATATGTGTGCGTATAAGTATATATGTGTATATGTATATGTACATATATATGTGTGTGTATGTATGTGTATGTGTGTGTGTATGTGTATATATACATATATATATATATATATGAATGATTTGGTACTGCAGGTCTTGGAATATGTCCCCCATAGATAAGTGGGGGGTTACTGTAATAAAATGGCTATTATTTTTAAGTCATTAAATTTTGGGCAGCAATAGCTAACTAGAACACTGGGTCTGCAAAGTTTTAGATCACTTGTACCAGGTTATTCTACAATCATTACATTTCTCCTAAACCTTTTTAGTCACCAGCCTATGGACAAAAATTCAGACAATTTAATTTAAAACTCTCAATTGGCTTTATTTTCAATTCTAGAATTAGGTAACACTTCATCCCATAAAGTAGAACAGGTATTCCTGATGTTCATTTTAATTACTTTATTAAGGTGATGTCTGCCAGGCTTCTTCTCTGTCATGTTATTCTTTCTCCCCTATACAATAAATGAGTTTGCAATTTTAGTTTTAATTGTATGGAGCTGTATGTTAAAGCCATATTCCTTATTAAACTTTCAAAGCAGTCATTCTTTTATTTATATCAGTATATACTCCTGGTTTCCTATTTTATTCAGTGGGTTATAATACATTGCTGTTATTAATTTGGTCCTCAAACTGTTCCCAGTTTGACCAGTGGCAGCTCCCACTCAAGCTGTCTTCTGAGTCTCCTTGGCATATCCCCATGTTTGTTTGATCATTTTCTGGAACATATCTCCAAGCATCCCTGATTTCCCTTCATGGAAACTGAAATGTGAAAACCAAGAACTGTGCACTGTACTGCCTGATACAGGGGTCTTGCTGCTCCCAGGCCATTTCAGTGGACAGAGTTAAAGAACATGTGTAAACATAGATGACCATGAGCCTATGCCAGTATGTCCAAATACTGTACCATGCCACACACAGGCTTCAACCTAATTTTCTCCCATTCTGCATTTGTAGTGCCTTTCTGGCATTGAGAAAGCTGGCTTCCATTTTCACTAATCTATTTATATATTTAATCAGTCCCCTCCCTGTATTAACCAGTCCTCCATATCCAGCCCTATCCCTTCCCCCTTGCAGATGTCCTGCTCTACCTCCATGAGCTCTGAATCTTTGTTCTGTGTTGGTTCTTCTGCATGGATACCCTCCTCACTCTTTGGGCTCTCACCCGCTGTTTACCTACAGGAATGCCTCCTCACCCCAGTCATGTCTTTCCTTCCTAGGGAAAAGAGCTTTGGACAAAGTAATACAACCCAGGTTCTGTGAATGTGTGACACTGACTAGCTGTGGGATTTTGGGAAAGTCAACCTGGCCCAAGTCCATCACTTCTCATCTGGACTACTACTCACTGATCTCCCCACATCTTCTCTGGCCTCCTTCCAATCTGATCTCCACACAAAAATGTGATCAGATCACTCCCCTAAATTAAGATCAAGTTCCTAAAGCAACTTATAAAGCCCTGCTTGTTCTAGCCCTTAGAGAATTCTCTCACCTCCATTCTCTTACCTTATCTCTCCCTCTCTTCCTATATTGCCTTCTCTCAATTCCTCAGAGGTGTGGAGTTGTTTCCTTGTTCTGGAAGTCTCTTCTCTAACCATTCCCTGCACTTGTCCTCCTTTCTGCTTCACCCAATTAACTCCTACTCAAACTTCAGGTCTCAGCTGAAAGTTACTAACCCCTTGTCTAGAAGCCTTCCCCAGGGCCCTAGACCTAGTTGGTTGGGTCTATTTAATACACTCACTTAGAAATCTCCTCCTGTTTGCTGAGCACTTACTCCACTGATAGGTGTATATCATTGTGAGATTATTTAATCAATGTCTCTCTCTCTCCTGGACTTGACTGTAAGCTCAGGGAGAACTGGTTCTGTGCCTGTTCTAACTCATCACGTCTTCACACTTAGCAGAGTACTTAGGACAGTGAAGGTATTAAAAAACTGCTCTCATGGTACTTGGCACCTAGGCAGCACTGTGTAAGCATTTGTTGAATCTGAGTCCTTGTCACAGGATTGCTTTGGGGTTAAGTGAGTTCATAGGTAATGAATGTGACAGTGCTCTGAAAACTGGAGAGTGCTGTTGAAATGGAAATTTCACAACTGCACCAGGTCACTGATTTAAAACCTTGCCAACTGTAGTAAGCAGCTTTCTGTTGCTGTGACAAATACTTGAGAAGTCCGTGTAAAGGGGGGAAATGTTTATTTTGATTCACAGTTTCAGAGCTTTCAGTTCATGGTCACTTTGTCTGGTTGCTGTCAGGTCTGCAGTGAGGGAGTACATAACAGCAGAAGCACGTGGCAGAGGAAAGCTGCTCACCTCCTGGCAGCCAGAGAGAAAGGAGGGGCTGGGGACAAGATATGCCTCCAGTGACCTAGTTCCTGCAATGAGGCCCCACCTCCTATAGTTTGTACCCCCTCACAATCGCCATCAGTTGAGGATCAAGCCTTCAATCGAGGAGCATTTGGAAGACATTCCAAATCCAAACTTTAATGCCAATGCTTTTGAGACAGTAAATAAGTCACAACATTTGGGCACATGGTTCTTTCCCAACCTAGAGTTTCCTCCAGACTGAATTGGAAAACTAGCAGATATTCAGCCATTTCTTCTTTTTTTCCTCTCCTTCTTTCCTTTCTTCCTTTCTTTTTCTTTTCTATTTCTTCTTCCTCCTCCTCCTCCCCTCCTTCCCCTTTCTCCTCATCCTTCTTTTTATTTTAATCAACTAGAAAAGGCATTTTCAGTAACACTTGAAGGGGAGGCCACCCTACCCGTCTCCTACCACTGTTGGCAGTGCTTTGGGAGCAGGAGAAGCTGGGTTCAGATCTCTGCTCTTTCTTTACTGGTTTGGTGATTCTAGGCAGAGAGCTCTTCCTGACCTCAGGGCTGGCTTTTATTCACACTTCAGATATGTGCTTAGAGGAAAAGAATAGTCACAGAGGAATTTAGGCCCAAGAGGAAGGACAGAGCGGAAGGTCGGTATATGAGGGGTTCATATCTTCACCTCCTACCCCTTTATTGGTGCCATCTCTGCTGCAGCATTCGTCACATAAAACACTCCACACCTGGAGCACGCATCCTGCTCCACAGAATGCTGTAACAGTAATTTCTATTCAGTTCGAACAGCCTTTCTAGGAGGCAAGCAGGCAGACAGGCAGTTATTATATATCTTTGTAGCTAAACAAAAAGCTTTAAGTGAGAAGGGTATCTGAATATCAGAAATAATGGTAACTTTCTTTTCTCTCACTTTCTGCATTACTTAGTGAGGGTGCGTTGACCATTCCACCCCTCCGTGCCCCTCTTATATCTGCTCCATGTCCATTCACTGGTGTGGCTCAGGCTTTTTTTTTTTTTGTCTGAACTATTTCAGAAATCTTCTATTGAATCTTCTACCTTTCATCCTCCCTTCTGGTCCCTCCTCTACTTTGGTTTCAGATCGTTCTAAATCTAAATCCAATTCTTTCTTTCTTTCTTTCTGAAATCTTCTCATTTTGTCCCCATGCATCAAGTTTCTTGGCATGACTTCCTAAGCCCACAATACTCTGCCCATGTGCAGCTGCTTCTTGACCTCATTCCTGCCACCCCATCTTTTGCACCCTGTACTCTAGGCTCATAGACCTGCAGTTCTCCAAACATAACCCACTATTTCCAATCTCCATGACTCGGCATATGCTGTTACCCTGCCTGGGATGCCCTCTCTCACTCTCTTATCTAGGTGGGAAACTTCATCCTACAACCCTGCTCAGCTCAGTGGACCCTGCCTCTCCCTACTCCATTGTCTCTCTCCATCTCATTCATAGAATTAAACATTTCTTATTCTGTGCCACTTTCAAACCTTATGTTCCACCATCACATGTGTACTCTATTACAAATATGTGTTTTCATTTTGCACATGCCTTTCCCCAGCCCATCTTTAAATTTTTCAAGGGTAATAGCTTTGATTCATCTTTGAATTCTTGAGAACTTTTTTGGAGGTTCTAGCAGGGGTGCGCAGCTACTCATATACCCTTGACTGAAGAACGGTCCTCCTCTATTGGCAAAGATCGTCCTGAATTCTTATTACTCAAGTAAGGTGTGACACATAAAGGGTATTCAATTTGCATAAGTATCGTTTTTGAAATTCAGATATAATTTACATACTATAAAATTTACCCTTTTTAAAAAATATTTACTTTTTAGTTATAGGTATACACAATATCTTTATTTTTATTTTTACGTGGTGCTGAGGATCAAACCCAGTGCCTCACACATGGTAGGCAAGCGCTCTACCTCTGGGCCACAACCCCAGCCAAAAATTCACCCTTTTAAGGTACAATTCAGTGGTTTTAGTATATTTATAAGGTTGTATGACTATCACCACTATTTAATTCCAGAACAATTCAAAGAAACCCTGTAACTGCTAGCAATTATTCCCTGTTAGCCATTCCAGCCCACCCACTTGGGTCCCTAGTCCCTACAAATTCACTTTCTATCTAAATGGATTTGCCTATTGTAGACATTTCATATAAATGATATATAATATGTGGCTTTTGGTGTCTAACTTCTTTCTCTTAGTATAATGTTTTCAAGGTTCATCTACATTGTAGAATATATCAATACCTTTTTCTGGCTAAATAATATTCCACTGGTAGACATGATTATATCACGTTGCTCATCTACTCATAAAATGATGGATGTTTAAGTTGTTTCTGTGGGGGTTTTGGCTGTTCTAAATAGGCTGCTGAGAATATTCATGTGTAGGTTTTTGTGTGTCAATAAATATTTGAACCAATGAACAAATGAGTGTATGGTGAATCTTACTTCTTCATATGTTCTTTTCTTCTTTTTTAAAAAGAATTGTTATTATTTCTTTTAGTTGTAGATGGACACAATATCTTTATTTATTTATTTTTACCGGGTGATGAGGATCAAACCCAGTACCTTAAACATGTGATGCAAGTGCTCTACCACTGAGCCACAACCCCAGCCCCTTGTGTGTTCTTTTCATCATGTGTTCTTTGTAACCTTCTTTACTGCTTTCCGGCAGGTATGGGCCGGATTGTTCAGGCTGAAGAATACCTATCCCAAGCCCAGTGGACAGTCCTCAAGTCAACTGACTGTCAAAATGCAACACAGTCATTACTGCATCGGAACCTGGGACTTCTCTACATAGCCAAGAAGAACTATGAAGAAGCCCGATATCATCTGGCCAATGATGTAAACAAATTAAATTATAACACCTGGATGTTTCCAAGAAAAGCTCTGTTCAGTTTTTTGTTGTTGTTGTTGTTTGTTTGTTTTTATACTAAGCATTTCTCGAAACTTTTTGTTTGAGAATGCCCTTTGGTGGCTGTTAGCACATCTAATGGCCTGAATTTAAACCTTTCTACTTCCTGGCCATGCCACCGTTGCCAGGTTAGATCTTCCCTGAGGCTCAATTGCTCTGAGAATAATAAGTGGGGATAGACTGATTCCTGATTAAGAGAAAGGCTTTGCTCCTAGTCCCAACTCTGTTGTTTCACTACCCTCATAGTCTGGGACAAATTACTTTACCTTTTTTATTGCTTACAAGACAAAAAAAAAGTCTCTTCCACATTGGGTCATTGCAAAGATTAATAATAGAACAATATGTGTGCAGTACTTTGGCTATTTTTAAAAATAACACTGTCTACTTCAGAGTGTGGTTATTAAATTTAAATGAGCTAGATCTATAAGAAAGCACTTATAAACTATAAAACTCTATGAATGTTAGATAGGATAATGAGGATGATAACCAAGCTGTTCTTCCAAAATTATGAGATTCCCATTAGGATTTTAGTATTGGAAAATATTACAAGAGAGGAGTTCCTGAGCCTGAAATCTGGGTTAGGTTGGGGCAAATTGCACTTTCCATGTAGGTTAGTTCTTTCTTTAGCCTTCTCCAGCAGGCATATGCTCCCTCTGGTTGCATGCCACTGCACAGTACCCATAAATTCATTCTGATGCTGGTTATTTCCAATACTCTAAATTTGTCCTTTGCCCTGGGAGGATGACCTCCATGAAATATACAACCCAGACCCCATTGCTGTCTGGTTTGGGTTGAGTTTGGAGAATGGGAAGCAGAGCAGGGGAGTGGAGGGTGTGAGAGAGATTGGGGTATTTATATTCTCTGCTGCCTTCCTGCCCCACTTTGCTCTGGCAGGGCAGTCAGTGCTCCCCTGTGGCCACAGTGTCTTATCAAGGGACCTTCTTCCATAGTGCTAGCACTGGCTGGGGTTACCCCTGTTTTCTACCTCTGGTTTTTGAACTGTAGGGATGATAATGGTTTCTTGCTGTTGGTTGTCCTTGATGCTTCACTAGCCCTTGTTGGTTCCTTAACCCTTTCACATCTCAAATATTTTTTCTACTAGACTATCTTCAGGCAATCCTTTTGAGGGTGACATCATTTCATCCTGGCCCCCCGACCCATGTAATCATCCTTTGAGCTTTTTCTCTATCCTCCACATCCTCCAATGAATTAAGCAGAGGCACATTCTGTCTTGAGCTGGGCCACCCAGTTATGAATTATGTCAAACACACATTCTTTAGCCTAGCTTTTTTTCCTTTTAACCTATTTTATTGATATATACCAGAAAATTCACCCATTTTAAGTGTGCAGTTCAATGATTTTTAGAACATATTCAGAACTGTGCAGCTATTGGCACAATCGAGTTTTGGAATATTTCCATCACCCTCAAGAAATCCCTTATATCCATTTGCAGTCATTTCTCATTCCCACTCCAGGCCCAGGCAACCACTTTTTGATTCCTTAGATTTGTCTTTTCTAGACATTTTATATAAACAGAATCACATATAGAACTCAGATCTGACTTCTTTCACCTTGCATAATCAGTTTGGATTCATCCTTTTTTTTTTTTTTTTTTTTCTGAGTAGTAGTCCCTCATCTTGGGTAGTCCACAGTTTGTTTATCCATTCATCATTTGATGGGACATTTCAGATGTTTCTCTTTGGGGCTATAATGAATAATGTTGCCAAAACATTTGTGTACAAATCTTCATGTGGACATATATTCTCAATTCTCTTGGGTAGGTACCTAGAAGAGGAATTGCTTAAACCTCTCGAGGAGCTGCCAAACATTCCCACCAGCAATATGTGAAGGTTTCGTTTTTCTCCTCATCCTCACCAGCACTTGTGGTTTTCTGGGTTTTTGATTACAGCTATCCTACTGGTGTGAAGTGGTATCTCATATGGTTTTATTTTGCATTTCTCTAATGACTGTCAATCTTAAGCATCTTTTATGTGTGTTTATTAGCTATCTACATATCTTTCTGGAGAAATTTCTAGATTCTAAGCCCATTTTAACATTGGATTATTATAAAAATTATTTCTGTGTATTCTGGATATAGGATCTTTATCTAACTTGATTTGCAGAGGAATTCCAGCATTCTCCTTTCTCCTCCTGCAATAGATTTATTTTGCCAGTTGTGCATTTGGAACAGAGGACATCAGGACCTCAGGAGGCTACTTCCACTTGGCTAATACCTTCTATGGTCTTCAAAAAGTGGACCTAGCAGACACATTGTACACTAAGGTGAGCTAGAGAATGTGGGAACTGAACCTTGACATTTAGGCCAGGTATATTACAACTGGTGTAAGACCATTTGTGAGAAACATAACATAAAGAGAGGCTCAGAGAAATAAAGGGTCTTGCCCAAGGTTACATAGCCTGATACTACCAAAATAGATTAATCCCTAGCAAATAATAAATGATAGTCCTAAGAACCAGAGCTTAAGAGGCTCTCTCTCACCCAATGGGAGCAAGCTAATGTGGGTGTATTGAGGTGTGTGACAGAGAAGAGCTTTATAAGGGACATTTATTGCTGCAAGGTCCTGTCAAAGGATCAAAGAACTTGAAAGTAGCCAGGCATGGTGGCACATGCTTGTCATCCCAGCTATTTGGGAGGCTGAGGCGGGAGGATCACAAGGTCAAGGCCAGCCTGGACTTAACAACACCTGTCCAAAATTTAAATTTTAAAAAGGGATAGGCATGTAGCTCAGTGGTGAGTGCTTGCCTAGCATGCACAAGACCCTTGGTTAAATCCCCAACACAAAAACAAAACACTCACAAAAACTGTTTCCAATATATTAAGATATCATTTAAGTTCATTCAGTACCACCTCATTTAGCTAGCAACTGTTTCTGTGTGTGATATAGGCTCTCATGTTGTGACTCTTGATTCATACTTTAGACCCAATTCTTTAAAAGAGGCATTTTGGTATAGCTAAAAAGCCAAGAGTTTTGGAGTCAGACAGACCTGGGTTTAAATCCAGGACATGCCACTTAACAGCTCTTCCCAAAAGTCCAGTGTGCTCATAGCTTCTCTGAGCCTCAGTTTATTTACATATAAAATGGAAATAATAAGAATATTACCTCAATTATTGTTGTGAGGATATAAGTGTTTAGGGTTGTTTGTGTCCTGTGAATAGTAGCCATTGTTATCAGATCCCACCAGGATTGCTCTAGATGTGCCCATTGCAGCCCATCCCTGAACACATTAATTTGGCCAGGGCTTTTTGGGTTCCTAGGGCTCCATTTGCCCCCAACTCAGGAACTCTGACCCCATGTGCTGCATTCCCACCTGGCTGATCTAACAGCTGAGGTCTGGCTTGCTTGTCTGATAGACATCTTCTTTTCTAACAGGTCTCAAAGATCTGGCATAAATATTTGAATGAACACTATCAAGTCCTCTCACAGGCTCATGTAGAACAAGCAGACTTACTGCGCAAACGATTTGTGAATGACACTGGCTTGGGTAAGTGCTGGTTCACTCTAGGAAGCAAGCCATGACCTCATCCTACCTAATCACAGGCCTTACACCTAACAGGGAGAGTAGCTGTTCCCATCATGGGGCATATCAGTGCCACCTTCCCATTTTACTGATGGGGAAAACCGAGCTTTTACTAGGGCTGGGAAGAATTCAGATTCTTCTTATGCATAGCCCTCGGGGAATAAATATGGGACAGATTTGGAGGCACAAAAGACCCTGAAGGGCATCCATTTCTTCTATATTATCCCTCCAGGGAACACAAGCCATGAGATAGTCTCTACACAGTTTAACCAGGCAGGCAGCACATATCTGTAATTCCAGCTACACTGGAGGCTGAGGCAGGAGGATCTCAAGTCTGAGGCCAGCCTTAGCAACTTAACAAGATCCTGTCACAAAATGAAATAAAAGGCTGGGGGTATTAGCCCGGGGCTAGAGCACCACTGGATTCAATCCCCAGTATCAAAAAAAAAGTTGCATTGCTAATTAATTCTGATGTCTCACATTCATTTCTCCTTTACAGAACAGTGAGCTCCTCTGAAGCAGGGCTAGATTTGATTCATGTCTATCCCCAGGCTCAGCAAAGGACTGAGTGTTGAGAGCACTGTACAATATCATGCCCTCTGAGATAATAGACAAGGGATCTAGTTTCTGCTCAGAAGAGTCATTCAGTACAGTGGGTGATACAGAGCCTATGTGCAATAACAAAGAACATTCCCATGACTATAAATTATATTACAGATGAATACCAGAAGGAAGAAGGGAGGACGGTTGGGTGGTGTTGAAGGGAGACTTTTTCAGAGGAAAGACTTTGAGGGAAGGTTTAAAAAATTAATTAGTTTATTGGATTTTCTCTCATTATAAAAGTGGTTTACCGTATAGCAGAAATCTTGGAAATCATAGCTATCCAAAGATCACCAACCTTTAGGCTTATTACTTAAATACATGCCTGTTAGTCCCTGACTCATAGTAACTGTTTATTTACTAATGTGGGACCAAAAACCACTGGGGGGAAAATGGTGACAGACTCATGTGAGGAAGCAGAAAGGCTATTGCTTAAGTATCTTTGGACTTAGGGGGAGAAATTAAGCCACTACTATGGCAAGATATTCCCCTTGCTCCCTCCCTCAGCTCTAGGGTGGAAGCAGAAGTGAACCCAAGGAACCTAGCTGTAACAAATGCCCTGGGTTTAGGAGCCCACAAGATTTATTAGAGTTCAGGATCTAAAGGAGAGACAGCTTAGTGACTTTGGGGCTTGTGGAGGAGCATTTTTTAGGTTACTCTGGTAGTGACATGCCAGGCAGTGCCCGAGGGCTGCCTGAAGCTGTCCCACTTCCTGCTCTGCATGTGGCACAGTCCTTCTGCAGCTGGAGAACTTGCTGTGATTTGTGCTGTTTCCATTGGAACCCTGGGAAGAGGCCAGGCCCCTGCCCATGGGGGGCTTATGATGAGGGCAGGCTCTGCTGCCCACCACCTGCGTTTCTTTCCTCCCTTTTCAATGCAGATGAAGCCCAGGAAGCAGAAGCCATTCAGATCCTGACTTCAATCTTGAGCATTCGAGAATCAACTTCTGACAAAGCTCCTGAAAAGACTATCTTTGTTCTGAAAACCTTGGTCATGCTTCACTACCTGATGATGAATTCTTCCAAGGCAAGTTTCCCCAGAGGCAGCTTGTGTAAAATGCAGAAAGAAATGCATCAAGTAGTTGAATCCATCTGTTTTTGCCCAATTCCACTAGCTTTTTGTCCTTAGGGAGCAAGCCCTCACTCTAGAAAAGTTCACAAGCTCATGACATTTCTCTTTTGCTGAGTCCAGCCTGCTTAGTGGGACCTGGATTGTCTCCTTCCCTAGGGAAGCCTTCTAGGATTGGGGAAGTACTGGGAAGCTTGCAGGGCAGGAGGGCTCTGGAGGGTCCTTGGAGTAGGACATGGCTGCTTTAACTGCACTCAGTTACTAATTTCCCTTTTGCTACAGAGATTCAGGCAGGAATGAATTGCTGTGAAATGGTTAAAAAGGTAACTGTTTTTGAGTAATTAGTACATGCCAGTCACTGTCTTAAGCCCTTTACATAATTATCATATTTAATTCTCAAAACAACTTTATGAAGTTAGTATTTTATTATCATCATTTTAGAGATAAGGAAACTGAGGCATAGAAAGGCTCAATTCTTTGCCCAGTTTCATAATAAGAGAGCTCATGTAAAAAAAAAATTATTTGCCCAGTTTCTTACAGACGGTAAGTGGCATGTCTAATTTATTAATGGACTGAATCAGTCATTCATTCAAATATTTTTTGAGCAGCTACCATTTGCTAGACACTATTCTAGGGACTGGGGATACAGTGGTTAACAGAAAGACAAGTTTCCTCTCTCTATGGAATTTATGATTTTTAGAGGAGGGGAAGCCACAGTAAATAAGTAAATGTATAAATGTGTAATATAACTCTAGACAGTAAAAATTTCCATAGAAAAAAACAAAGTAAGCTAGGGTTAGTATAGGGGGCTGGTTGGAGCAGGTCTTTCTCTGTGGGTGACATGGGAAAATTTATGTTTTCCTTCCCTACTCCCTCCTTCCCTTCCTTCCACAAACTTTTACTAAGCACTTACTGTACATCAGGGCTTGGGGAAGCTCACAGTTATAATAGAGTGTAAAGCAAATCTCAGGGCACTGTGGAAGCCCAGAATAGGGGCACTGACCCTGTCTGGAATGGGTAGGTGGATTATGGAATATGGAAGTGTTCCCGCTGAACTTTAAATTTACATTGGCCAAAACCTCCTTTCTGCAGTACAGGGTCCAATTTTGGGGAAGTTATTATCCCATAGTGTGTTAGGATGTCAGATCTAATAGAGATCCTCAGACAAAAGGAACACATCTGGACAAAAGGAACACCTCACTTCCTCAGGTCTTTACTCAGCTGTTTTTTCCGTGACACTTTCTGAGCCTCCCTGTCTAAAACTACAAAACCCTACCACCACCTCTAATGCTTCTGACTCCTCTTTCTTTTTTATTTTATTCCGTAGCATTTATCACTAGTTAAGATACTATTATGTTTTACTTGTTTTGTTTATAGTCTTTCTTCCATACAATATTGTAAGTTCCATGAGGACAGGAATTTTTGCCTGTAGTCACAGTACCTGGAATATAGCATCCATTCAGTAAAAATATTTAGTAAATATTTTTTAGAAGGAAAGAAGAAAGAAAACAAGAGAGAAATAGAAAACTAGAGAGCATCCTAAAATGTCCTGTGGAGCCTCTTCCTGGGTTAAATTTTCAGGTCACATGGCTCCTAGGACTATGCCAGGATGATAATTTATTTGTGGTACTTGTCACTTCTGTGCCTCCCAATGCTAGTCCAGAGGACTCTGATTAAGATCCTACAAAGAACCAGGCCTAGTGGTGCACACTTGTAATCCCAGCAACTCATAAGATTGAGACTAAGGCAGGATGATCACAAGTTTGAGGCCAGCCTGAGCAACTTAGCCCAACCTTGTCTCAAACAAAAAGGACTGGAAATGCTCAGTGATAGAGCACTCCCGGGTTCACCAAAAAAAAAAAAAAGCAACAATCAAAACCCCAAACTCCCTACAAAGACTTGAGTTTACTAAGGAGTACCCATTTACTTAGTTTGTTAAGTACTTAGTACTAGTTGGTTAAGTCAGATGGATTTTTCTGGTGTCCCTACCCACTGAGCACAAATATGGCTAGCTGTCCAGGACCCAGAGTAAGCAAAGTAAGTTCACAGTTTTGTGAACAAGAGCTCAGTGGCTGGTGTGGGCAGGTGATGAGTCCTCTCCCCTGTTTCTGGAGTTGAGCACAAATGGAGCTTCCCAATGTTATGCATTTCTGGGCCAAGTTCCTTTTGTCACTTCAATTTTATTTCAGGCAGAAGAATATGCCATACAAGCCCTCAATCTGGCCAAAAAACTGGAACTCAGTGACGAAGAGCAAAGCAACATTGAAGAATTACTACACCTCATCTCAGCTGAAGAAGAGCATCCCATTACTTAGTGACCCATGAGCTCTGCATCATGGCTATTGAACGCCTAATACATTTCAGTTTTGCTCAGCGGCTCCTGGTCCTTTGGATTGCTGAAGTGTCCACATTTTTTCCATGGGACTGCACCCATAGGTGGGATTTTTTAGCATATGTGAGGGAATATAGAGCTTTAGGCATAGAAATCAGTAAAACTACTGTTTATCATGAATTTGTCCTTGGTTTATTATGATTTTGTATGACTTTGAGTAATGTGTGGTCAGGTCACTAATAAGTATTTGTACTTAAACTGTAAATAGTTTGTCATATTTCCCAAAAGTCTCTCAGTGATGTGTTTCAGAAGTCTATGCCAAGTGAGGAGTAGAGAATAGAGCTATATTGGAGCAAAGTTTTCTATTCTATTGGAATTAAGTTAGCATTAGTCTGAGGCAGATTGTGACAAAATATCCATTGTAATTCCTACAGCAATCACTAAGAAAATAACTCTTAAAATAGTTAAAAATTAACAAAGATTTAAATGGTGCACTAGAAAATATCCACTTACAGCAAGAGAAGGCAGTAAAGGAGGAATAGAGGAACACAAGAGACCCGGAACATTGAGAAGACAGCAAAATGCGACGTAAACAAGAAATGAGGACTTCACAAGTCAAGAGAGCCCAGGATGCATGGGTTGAGATGCCGTTCCAAGCTGGTGTCTTTAATATCTCGTACAGTAATTTGAAGCAGAAGTGAGCCATCTTATACTCCGTGGGAGAGAGGCACTCTGAAAGGCCACCTGTGATGCAGAGGACAGAGTTCAGGCCTTGCGCTCAGTAATGCCAGAGTTTAAAACCCAGGTTTCTTACATGATAGCTTTGGGACCTTGATCCCACATAGCTTTACGCATTATTGTTGTGAAATGGTCTAGATGTGGCCACACCTGTATCGGCTTATCCCATCTTGATGACTTTGGACACTTAGCACATCCTTTTTCCCCCTCCTTTAGCTCTTTTCTGAACTTAACAAAAAGCATTTGCTTCCTGGGTAGATCCACACACAGGGTGAATATGTGCAGATCAGGAACCTTTTAGAGAGTTTTATGATCCTCACTGTAGATTAATTCATTCAGATACAAATAATAAAAATATGTCAGATGGTTTACCCTGCCCCTTTATGTAAAATCAGCTGGAACCTCCATTCCCTACCTTTGGAGATTCTCATACTTCTCTAAGATGGCTGTGCAGTCCCTGGGGCTCACTTGTCTTTCAGCCATTTCTTCATCCAGTTTGAAGCTTCAGCATAATATTCTCCAATCTGCATTGTATAGCTGTTCCTTCTCTTTAGGAATACAACCACCTCTTCTTTTTTCTCATTCCCTAACCCCAAATAGGAACCAGCTCTTTTAAAGAGACTCTTAGTGAAGACTGGGGGGCAAAGAGGAGGATCAACAATTCTACAGAAGATAATAAAAAAAAAATTAGAACTTCCAATTCTAAAATCATCCTTTAAAGTCTATGCTGTTACACTCTAGCTCTCTCCCTTACCATATCCAATGGCCCTTCTCTGTTTTCTTTTTAACCCTTATATATTTTCTGTTTTCTCTAATCCTGAATTCCTGTTCATTAATACTTCTGCACTGAATCTATTTGTATAGTTATTATTTAAGTTAAATTCTTTAAATTTTTTGTTTCTATTAACTGATTTTCTTTTTATTTATAGGCCATTATTTTTCTTTTCTACATGTCCAATAATTTCATTTTCAGTATTTCTTCTTTTCTAACACTTGTGTTTTCAGGCCATAATTTTTCCTCAAAACAGTGCTTTCAATGATCCCACCTATTTTAAAATGCAATATTTTATTTTTATTCTTAGTGTTTTAAAATTTTTTATGACTCATGAATCATTAGAAAGATGAATAGTTAGTCAGCTTTCCATGACTGTGACAAAATACCTGAGATAATCAACTTATAAAGAGGAAAGATTTATTTTTGATCACAGCTGCAGAGCTTTCAGGCTATCATTATTTGACTTCATTGTTTTGGGGCCTGTGATAAAGTAGAACACTGTGATGGAGAGTGTGTGGTAGAGCTAAGCTGCTCACCTCATAGTGGCCTGGAAGCAAAAATGAGAGCAAAGGACATATCCCCTTCAGGGGCGTGCCCGAAATGACCTGAATTCCTTCCACTAAGCCCCACCTCCTAAAAGTGCCACCACTTCCCAATAGTGCCACAGCTGGCAGCCAAGCTGTTAGCATTTGGGTCTTTGGGGGACATTTAAGATCCAATATGATTCTTAACTTCTAAAGGAAGGTGATTTTCTTTCTTTGTTGTTGATTGCTGGCTTAGTTTTCTTGTGGTCATAGAACATGTTGCATACAATTTTGATAGAGATTAGTTGAAATTTAGATTATGACCCAGGATATGGCCATTATCTATAAATGTTCCACATGTGTTAGAAAATAATGGAATTGTTAGGAGCAAGGTCCTGTATGTGCCCATTAAGTAAAATTCATTCATATTTTCAAATTTTTGCTGATTTTTTTGGTACCAGGGATTGAACCCAGGGGCACTTAACCACTGAGCCACATTCCCAGCCCTTTTTTTATATTTTGCATTTAGAGACAGGGTCTTGGGCTGGGGATGTGGCTCAAGCGGTAGCACGCTCGCCTGGCATGCATTCGGCCCGGGTTCGATCCTCAGCACTACCTACAAAGAAAGATGTTGTGTCTGCCGAAAACTAAAAAATAAATATTAAAATTCTCTCTCTCTAAAAAAAAAAACATAGAGACAGGGTCTTGCTGAGTTGCTTAGGGCCCCGCTAAGTTGCTGAGGCTGACTTTGAACTTGCAATCCTCTTGTCTCAGCCTCCTGAGCCACTGGGATTACTACAGGCATGTGCCACTGTGCCCAACTTTTGCCAAATTTTTGTTAATTCTCAAGAGAGGTATGTAATCATGAATTTATCTGTTTCTCCTTATAGTTGTGTCAATTTTTGCTTAATATACTTTAAGGCTTTGTTATTAGCCATATACATTTAAATAGAATTATGTTTTCCTGGTGAATTAAATTTTAGTATTGTCTCTACCAAAGCTTTTGACTTAGTCTATTTTGGTCTTAATAAAGCTGCACCCATTTCCTTGGGGGCTGGATTATTTGTTGTCAGTTAGGCATCCTCACCATTGCCTTCATCATTTACTTCTGCTTAGAGGAGGAGCTTGGAAGTCAATTCCCATTGTGCCCTTTCTTTAATGATTAAGGGTAAAATTCTGCCAGTGAGGGCCGACTGCTCAAGATTTGGAAGTTGCATATGGAGCACTCATGAATCTCTCCAAGAATAATCCGTTCTTGTTTTCCTGAAAGCATATTTCCTGTGAAAGCAGCTTGCTGACCTTTGTTTTCTGATTTTTATCACTCAGCTATTTAAAAGATTGTGTAAGCTTCTGATTCCCTCCATTAAATAAATCTGTTTATTCACAATACTTAGGGAGGCTTCTGTTTTCCTGACTGACTGAAACACTTGACATTCTTCCTGCAAATCCTTTATTTTAATCTATATCTTTATGTTCTAGATGAATCTCTTACAAAAATAATGAGATTAGATATTTCATATCTGTGATTCTTAAAGAATCATTTAGTTCATTTATATTTTGTTTGCATACTAAATTATTTAGGATTAAGTCTATAATCTTATTTTGTGCTTTCCAGTTGTCCTGCATGTTATATTTCCCCCTTTCTTTTGGATTGATTACATAGCTTTCTCTCATTCTGTTTCTTCTCACCCTTTGTCAGTCTGTTGGTTATAGCCTGTGTTTTTGTACTTTTAGTGATTGTTCCAGAAATTGAAGCATTTGTTTCTAAGTTATCAAAATCTAATATTCAGGAACCTTCATCTGCAAAAGACAAAGTCTTTAGACCCTCAACTAAATTTACCCCAACCAAACTTATATGTTATTACTGCTATTTATTTCCAACATATCTTTTTAAAAAATATTTTTTAGTTATCAATGGACCTTTATTTTATTCATTCACATGTGATGCTGAGAATCAAATCCAGTGTCTCACATATACTAGCAAGTGCTCTACCACTGAGCCACAACCCTGCTCCTCCTATATATCTTAAACTCAGAAATCATAATTATCATTTTATAATGTTTTTGTATTTTTTGCTCTCATACCTTCCATCTGGGCTCACATTACTAATAAATCTTAGTACTTCCTATAATGAGGGTTTGCTGATGGCAAATTCTTAGATTTTCTTTCTTTTATTAATATGAAAATATTTATTTTGCCCCCAGATTTTGGCTCTTCAATGAAAATGTATTTCATTTTATACATGATATAGTGATGCAGGAAATAATCTCAATTCCAAAAAGCTCTGTGAAATGTGGTTTATTTGACTCCAAAGACTAGACCAGGAACTCTAGTAATGCTGAGGCTCCCTCAGAGTCATACAAGTGCTGCTATTCATCTCCCACCAGTTAATCCTATCTTTCCTAAGTATCTTTGGCAGAATTTGCAGGGTAGAGCTTATGAATCATCCCTGAAAGATCCTACTAATTTTTTTCTATTGCGAGCACATATGCAATGTTAGAAATCACATCATATTGTCTATGAACCTTTATTTAACAAAAATCGACCTTTATTTAACAAAAATGAGGAGAGAAGTAGGTGCTTGGCATTCTTACTAGGTAACATTTTATCATTGCACAGCTATGGGCCTGTACTGTGGAGTAGTCCTTAGAGGACCATGATTCAAATAAAATTGCTCTACTATTAGTAGGCCTCACCATGTCCGACAATAGCTACACGTGCAAATGAAGTATCTTTGTATTCACAATGACTACAAAGTTTGACATCTGTCAGGAACAGTAGGTCACATGAAATAAACATTTAGCAAATAAATGCTTCAAAAAAGATGGTGAAGCATTATTGGAATGACAGAACTGTGCAAGTTTTTCACTCAACAGAAAACGTATGTCTTTCTTTATATTCATCAAGATCAATGACAAAGTAATGGAGGTAAATATTTTATTTCATATATATGCATACACAAACACACAGCTTCAATAGCTAATAAATATATCAATAAGAAATAGCAGGGTTTTTTTTAAGTAGCAGGTTTTAAAAGCATAAGAACAAGTTTACTATTAGGA